CGCCAAAAAAATAAATAAGAGATAGAGAGAGAAGGGAAAGGGAAAGGGAAAGAGAAGATAAAAGGAAAGAAAGAAGAGGAAGAAGAAGAAGAAAAGAGGGAAACAGGGGCGAAGGGCTCTTGCATCCCCCCGCCCAAAAATAAATAAGAGAGAGAGAGAGAGAGAGAAGGGAAAGGGAAAGAGAATAAAAAAGGAAAGGAAGAAGAATAAGAAGAAAAGAGGGGCTCTTGCCTCCTCCCCCCCCCCCCTCCCGCGCCAACAAATAAATAGAGAGAGAGAGAGAGAGAGAGAGAGAAGGGAAAGGGAAAGGGAAAGAAAATATAAAAGGAAAGAAAGAAGAAGAAGACGGAAAGAGGGAAACGGGGGAAGGGCGAAAGGCTCTTACCTCCCCCTCCCCCCTCCCGCCATAAAGGGAAAGAGAAGGGAGAGGGAAAGAAAATATAAAAGGAAAGAAAGAAGAGGAAAAAGAATAAGAAAAGAGGGAAACAGGGGTGAAGGGCTCTTGCCTCCTTTCTTTTCTTTCTTTTCCTTTCTTTCCTATTCTCCCTCTTTTTCGTTTTTCTCTTTCTTTCTTCTCTTTCCCTTTCCTTCTCTCTCTCTCTCTCTTATTTATTTTTTGGCGGGGGGCGGGGGGACGAGGCAAAAGCCCTTTGCCCCCGTTTCCCTCTTTTCTTCTTCTTCCTCTTCTTTCTTTCCTTTTATCTTCTCTTTCCCTTTCCCTTTCCCTTCTCTCTCTCTCTCTGATTTATTTTTTGGCGGGGGGGGGGGGGGCAAGAGTCCTTCGCCCTTCCCCCGTTTTCCTCTTTTCTTCTTCTTCCTCTTCTTTCTTTCCTTTTATCTTCTCTTTCCCTTTCCCTTTCCCTTCTCTCTCTCTCTCTGATTTATTTTTTGGCGGGGAGGGGGGGGGGGGGGTGAGGAGGAGGCAAGAGCCCTTCGCCCCCCCCCCGTTTCCCTCTTTTCTTCTTATTATTCTTTCTTTCCTTTTATCTTCTCTTTCCCTTTCCCTTTTTTCCTTCTCTCTGTCTCCCCCAGCTAGGGCTGGTTTTGTTTACGAAGCGCCCGTCAGGAGAGTACACGATAGAGTACACGATAGAGTACACGATAAAATTGACGATATCGTGAACTTTATATCGTGAACTTTTCACGATAAAATTCACGATATCGTCAATTTCATCGTGAAAAGTTCACGATAAAGTTCACGATATCGTCAATTTCGTGAATTTCTTCGTGAAAAATATGCGATAAAATTGACGATATCGTGAATTTTATCGCATATTTTTCACGATTTAGTCTATTCGCGATGTCCCTTCAGGGCCACCGTACATAAGAGACAATAAGATCAAACATTATAATTTTAAATTAATTCATAGAATATTGCCATCTAAAGACAATCTCTCTATATGGAAAATCGTACAGTCTAACGAATGTGAAATTTGTCGTGAAAAAGAAACTATTGAACATTTTATATTTCGTTGCAAGAAATTAAGAGTTTCCTGGAAAATTATCTCAAGAATTACATATTTCATTTTTAAAATAGAAATTGATATGAAAATGTTATTAATTGGATATGAAATAGATAACAGAAAATTTACTTTACTTAATTTTTGGATAAATTATGCTCAACTGGTTATATACAAAGACTACGTAAAGCGGAACTTTGGAGAAGTACCAACCAATCCAAAGAGGTTAATAAATAATTTTATTTCATCATTAAAATGTTATTTGAAATACAAAGAAATTATAAAATACTTCGATATTGAGGAAGTTAAGAAAGTATTAGAAATGTTAAAATGATCATTTTAAGATATTATATGGATCTTGTATATAATGTTTCATTTTACTTGTTTTGTAAATAATATATATGTATTTTGAAATGGAACAATAAAGTCCCTCTGAAGAGGTAAAGAGAAAAAAAAAATATTATTGTCATAAATTTTCAAAATTTATTTAGAATTGAGACTTTATTTACACCTTATCAGGGGGAGGGAGCATGGAAATGACCCCTATTTGTAATTGTTATTCCTGTTCATTTAGTGGTGATAGTTATCACAATAATTACAGTTTCATATTTATTTCATTTTTTAAAGGTCTGCTAACGGTTTCGTAAGAGGACAGAGGGCATAACATTGGCAATTTGGTAACAGAAAACCTTCTGCTTTATATTTTAAACATTTCATCAAAATAGTTAACCTTCAGTCCTGAATAAGCAATCTGATTTGTTCAAGGTTGTTAAAAGAACGTGCTCATCCTTTGACCCACTCTTGTGTCACCTCATGAAGTATAACTTAAACTTTTGTTTGTCCGTTATTAATTGCCTTAGTCATATTGGTTATGAATTTTGTTATGTACTGTATATTAAACTTTGTGCAAATATCAACCACATTTGTATGTATTATTGCCAATGTAAATTGTACATAATTCATTTTGGGCTGCGAAGTGCAATCATAATACCTTTTCAATCAATATATTTGAAAGTATTATGTCGTTTGCATCTGTGAAAATAAACTGCAAATACGGTCGCAATTCTTTTCTCGAAAAAGCTACTTAAAAGAAACCCCACCCCAAGAAAGAACTTTTCTTATCCTGAGAGATGTATTATATTCTTGCCCATTAATCTCTAAGATTCCTCACAATAGTGTATGAGAGAGGCATAAAGCAAGAATAACGTACAGCTTCTCAGCACGACATGGGCATCGCCATTTTCTTGATAACGTGACGTACTTTCTGTGAAGTAGTTTATCAAGTAAAATGTATTTAAATTTATGGATGCTCCCTTCCCAGGTGTATGTGGTGATGAATCATTTCATTCACCTCCTATTATCCTGTGCATAAGTTGTAAATAAGTTGGTGCTCTTCTGGGTAAAGGTTTCTCATAAACGGAAAATATTTGTCAACTGCTATATTTTAGTATTTTTGAATGAATTAGTTGCAGTTGTTTCCCTGTTACATATTTTTCACCAAATATAATTTCTATCTTCTCAGCTACGACTTTCCTCATTAAAAAGTAAAGGTTTTGTTATTGATTTAAAAAGTCTTTCCAACTAAAGCTTGGTGCATGACACGTGTACAACTTCACCTGGTACGTCACATTTTCAAGAAAATGGCTACGCCCATATCACGCTCAAATGCATCAACATCATGCAAAGAATATCTTCAACTTGTATATCTCTTGTACATTTTCGTAAACAATATTGTACATCAAAGGGCAGGAATACATCTCATTTATCAGAATACCTACACTTATTCTTTGGAATGAGGTTTTCTTTTTATAAGGCTACATGTATACATGAAATTGCCTTATCATACCCTCAATGTCCTGGTTGGAAATACATGCATAAGTGTTTATCTACTTGGAATTCCAATATAAATGTGATTTAACGGATCAAGGAACATATACAGAAAGACAACCCTTGTTGGACTCCATGGAAGAACAGAGCCATTAGGTTAATGTCTCTGAAATGGACTATCCGACCGTTTTATCATTCTATTATTGTTATACAAGTCTTTGATTTTCTCGTTCCTAATTTCAGAAGTGACGGCAGTGAAGAAAATCCGCACGCAAATTGTATGCGATTTTCATTCACTACCGTCACTTCGTGAAAATAGGAAATTGTGTTGTTTTTAATGATGATTTTCGGTAATAAAACAAACACCCTGCATTCAGGTTTGCCAACACTCGTAATATACAGCCATCGCTATTCTTTTATACAGAACGATTCACCCTTACTTCGATTGGTGTAATACCGTGTAGATGAGTCTGGATTCTATGCCTTTGAAAAGACTTCAAGTACTTCAAAACAGAGCACTCGGAATCGTTATTCAAGTGGTTTCTCGATTCAGTAGAAGTTTATTACACAGAACCCTTTCTTTAGATTGTTTGAATGTAAAAGAAAAGAATGGTCATTTTGACCTTAAAGGTAAAGATCAGTTTTGGAAACGCCCTCACTCTCAAAAAATGAAATGGAAGCTCTTATTACCAATCATGTGAAAGAATATGTTTTGACTAATACATGATGATACAAATTTTGCCGGGAAACCGCCTACTAATTGATATATTAATTTTGGTAAATTATTATATCTATTTGGACCTGATAGACATCGCGCACGTGTCACGTAGTCCCATGTACATCTTGCTGTGTACAGTGATTGTAACTTTACCAAGACTGGGCCAAAGTTCTTATCATTTTGATAATTCCAGAACCTTGCAGTACACACCAATACTTATATGCTAGATGATCAACATTTTCTGATCGATTCCACGTTTCTTTCACAATGCAATCGCATGACCAAAACTGATCTTTACCTTTAAGATGATTTGTTCCCTAATGTATATATTAAGTTCCAAAATTGAAGTTAAACTAACTCACCTGCACTCTCTCATAAATATAAAACATTACTATCCTTCCCAAACCCCACACCAACTTTTATCAAGCACGATATACACTGCCAGTCATTTATTAAATAACCTCTCTCAAATTGAAAGAACGCAAACCAAACTTTATCAACTTTTATCAAATGCATCCAACATATCTTCCCAAAGACTTTTAAAAGAATGATACCAACATTCGATCCCAATACTTTTTGTTCGTATCCTGTATGTCTTCTTTTATTTCTCCACTATCTCTCTCTTCTTGTTTTATTAAGTTGTTTATAACTTAATTGTATAAATCTTTCCTTATTAGTATTCTTTGCAAACGAGTTGTAATTGTTATTGATGTAATATTTGTAATGTTGTCTTCACTTCTGTACAGACTTGCTGAAAACAGACTTGACAGGATGACAGTGAGGTTTTTTCTTTCTTTTTTAACGCTGTACTGAACAGTGGAAATAAAACAAACAATGCACACACACCTACACCCACCACCCTTTCCCCTATCTCTCTCTCTCTCTCTGAAAACATTCTCCCCTCACCATGCAACCAAAAATTACCCTAGATAATTAAAGGGGACAAAAAATAAAATAAATACTTAATGTCCATTAAAACACACACAAGCATCAGCTCTCTATTCCATCAGCCTCTTGTATAAAACAAGTATTTTTAATTTACCATGAAAATCACACGTTAATATATCCAATCTCTTCAATCTTTTTTTAAGCTTTTCTCACTTCTTTCATATTTTTTTTTTACAACACACTTGAAAAATCCCTGGATATTTCAGGCAACTACGAGGTCATAGTCGAGTCATCATCGGGCCTCTCCGTCGTAATCGATGGATCGATCAGTCGAGGGCCATCATTCAAGATATGTTTGATCCCACGAGATTAAGCTCAACTTAATCCCAAGGTATTATCTCAAGGTATTTCATCTTATTTTTCAGTTTCAGAATATTACACTGTTCACTAAGTTTGTGGGGGGAAATGAAGGTGTATTAAGGCCTGGTATTAAATACCCTAAAAAAAAGGAGAAAAAATGTTTCCATAATAATGTCTGTACAATGATTGCTTCATGAAAAAATAAAATGTCCAAATCCATTGTTAAAAAATGTGTAGCATTGCTAGCTAACAGCTCAAATCATCCATATAAAGGGGTGCAAATTTTGTATATAAAAAAGTCTTTTCTATATTTCCTGTGATAAAAAACAACTTTGGTTTTAAAAAAAGAAGAGGAATTCACAGATTTATTATCAAAGGAATGTCTTCAAGTTGTAAATGACCCATCATGTGTGCTCGTGACCGACCTCCGGTGCAAGGTCAAAGGTCGGAGGCCAGCGTATTATGAAAGACGATGTCGGGCTGGGATTGGAGTATATATATAATATCAATAAATTAATCACGTACAAACAAATTCTTTTCTTTTTAGATCTAGGTACACCACACAAAATTAACGTCTCTAACAGAATAATGAGACATGCTAAACCTATCACAACTACTAATTTAAAAAAAGAAGATGCACTTGGTTATTTCATGAAAAAATCATCTAGCAAGTAGCAACAAAATGTTAATTTCGAAGGAAAATAAAATAAAAATCCTGACTATAGAAGGATAACACGTTAAAAATTCACAGCCTCACGCTTGAGATAATACACAAACATATGTTGCAAGGAGAAGAGTATAGAATACAGACCGGAAGAGGAATACATAGTTTTGAATTTTTTGTTTTTTGTGTCGTCAGAGAATACGTGATTGTAGTAGTAAAAGTAGTGGTAGTAAGAGTCGAAGAGAAGAAAGAGAACACGAGAGAAGATTTTTCGCACAGTCTTGAGAGTTTATTAGCAGAAATAGGAGAAAAGAGAGAAAAAAAAATCAACAAAGGATAAATTCTTGGAGGAGAGAGAAGAAAAATAACTCAATAAAAAATGGCGGGATACAGGTGTGGCTATGAGAGTGACTATGGCCGTGGAAGGTGGATGATAAGCAACAAAACATATCTTAACATAGTCAGGAAAGTGCTGGCAGAACAATGCTAGAACCAAATATTAGTCAAATATAGAGGCATATAAGCTCAGATGGAAAGGCTATTTGATGCAAGAGATAGGGTAAATTGAGAAAGAGTGTAACCCCTTGGGTACTTGTACCATTGACAGGATAAAGTATTATATCCAGACAGAATTGCATTTTTGACTTATCAGTCACAAGTGTCTAAAATTCCAAAATGGTCCAAAACCTTCTTGTTCTACTGTGAACACATGATTTTTAGTCCAGTTTTTCACGATAAAAGATTTGCTTTTTCCAGTCCCTTGTGCCCCTAAATGATGTTTCTTACATTATTCTAGCATTGGAAGTCCTGTCAACACTTTCTTTGTACAAACAATCTTCAAGAATAAAACATTCTGGAAAGACCATCCCAAAATCTTAACCCTTTGACAGCCTCAGGGCAAAATCATGCCCCTTGCACCAAGAGCTCATTGTAACAAGTTCCAGTGCAAAAAGCGTGTAGAGTTAAGACTTTGAGGTGATCGATTGTTGTTAAACTGAGAGTGTAATAGCAACATAATGAAGTGAAGAAAGCCTATATAACTGCAGCATTGTGAAGCGAGAATAGCGTAGCAATAGGCCTTGAAACGCTGTGTGCGCTCAATCGGCTGTGTAGAGAGAGAAAGAGCATAGAGATATAGATGAGTGACTTGAACAACAAAGTATCAATGTGAAACAGTTAGGGATTTCAAATCAAATGTTTATGAAGAAAAACAGGTGAAATCGCTACCAAACAAAAATGTGAATAAGGGAAAGATTTATATACATGTAGGAAACGTAAGGAAGGAGAAAAACTAGAGTGCATGTTAATAGTTTGTTGGAACACTCTGCAGAATGGGGAAAAACGGTTGTTACAGAACAAAAGGATATTAAAAAAAATACCTCATGCAGCTAGACGTAGAATTGATGAGTTAAAGTGTTATCCTTATTCATGGTAAAGCAAAGCCTGAGAAATGTGCACAGAAAACACGCCAACGATGCTGCTCACTTTGCTGTGTGCAGTCGACAGGCACTGCCATGAACAAGGAGAAAAAACGGGCAAAGTTAAGGAAATTTGAATGAAATAAGAGGAAGAAACAACTCTCATAGCCTTTACAAGAAAACAGAGAAGATTAAAAGAGAAAAACAGCATTACATACCCTAGAAACCACTTCTTAGCTGTAGTAAACTTCTTACCTAGCCAAGTATGTTCTAAATATCTAAGATAACTTGAAAGCTACAATATTATTATCTTGTGTCAAATTTTTACAAAGCCACATTTATGAATACCACAGAGATTAAAATACATGGAATAATAGAGTGAAACTTGCCTATACACTACATATACAAGATTGATAAATCAGAAGAAAAAAAGGGTTTTTCAGCATTTCCCTCTGGATTCTTGGCATGCTCTCTACCACATTCTGAAAGAAATGTACTTCAATCATTTACAAGAGTAAAGTACATCCTTCTTACATGATACGCAATGATGAGAGCAGCATACATTTCTAGGTAGATGACAAACAAAAATATATCCGGGACATAAAACTTTCTGCTTTAATACGCTCTGCTCCACCAAGAGCAAGATGAGTATGATTGGAAAAGAGACAAGGTAAAATGCTCTCCAAAGTTCAACACACTGCCTGAAAGCAAACCTCCCTTTTAATCTGTCTTCTTACTTTTTCAATGCATCTCTGGCTTTTAAAGAAACACCTTTTATGGTACTGGTATGTCACCCTGATTATAAGGCACATTAAAAATCGGCCGCCCAGCTTCCAAACTCCATAGAGGTTTTAAGAAATAAAGAGGAGCAGAGTTTCCCCCACTCAGCCTTGACTAAAGGCTTGAGAAAGAAATTGTTTCACGCAGAGTGCACAGATTTAAAAAATAATAAAGAGAGTGACACATTTTTCTCAATTTTGGAGAGAAATACAGAATTGAAACAAAATAATTAAGCAAAGCTTCTTTTAGCTTATCTCTTTACACAATACACCACAGCAGATCCAAATGGAAAATGGGCTAACCTAAAAAAAAGGTGACATGTACAAGAATTTTTTGTCTCTGAATATACACAAGTAGTCATTATTTGCTTAAAAAGACGATACATAGCTTAGCGTACGTTGGATAAGAATGAAAATTAGATACGATGTACAGAATATCATTTGTTGCTACAAATACATATCAATTCACATATCAAACTGCCTGATCATCATGAAATTATCAAAATACCACTTTAAACAGCAGTGACTAGAACAAAGCCTCATTTTTCAAAGTTTGCACATATCCTTAAAACACAGACCAAGAAAGTAAACGTTATAAATTACGTTCTGTTAAACCTCCTTTTACTGCGAGTGATTGTCTCTTTTACGTTCAGACATGTTCGCTGGAACAAACAATTTGTGAGACAGAGCTCTGTCAATATCATGCGAGAACAAAGATGTACTGCTTTAATATGAACACAGCATTAGAGCATCATGAGTACAGAGATTGTTAACATTTGTAAATGTAAGAATGCTAGATACAGAGAATTAAGAATGTGTAAAGATCATATCTCGACCGCGAGATGTATTGCTTCAAGTTCCAGCTGTACTATTATATAAGCAGGCCTCACCTCAACAATCTGGCCACAGTAATTAATTAAAAATAACAGAGTAAAGTGCAACACATGTGGAATGTTCATTCTTTGTCAGTGACTCACAAAAGAAAAAGGCAAAACTCTATATGCTCTCGGAAGATAGAAGCCGCCAAGCAACGTGAAATTGTGACTCTTTTCAAAGAAATTAGTTTCAGAATTATTCTAGCAAATTATCTCACAGCAAAGACCAAAATTAACAAAGGCAAATATCTACAAAGATTATACGTAAAGACAACAAACTTGTTACGTTATAACGACCCTGAGCGTCGGATCTAGACGTCCTTTTTGCGTCGCGCAGAGAAGAAAAACTTTGCTCTTGGAGCATGTCAGAAAAGAAATGTAAAACCAACACAATAAAAGTTTCTGAGCTTAACCAAGGTGATTATACGAGGTTGAATAATCTTCAACAAAATGATACATGATTTATTGACGACATCAATTATTCCCCAAAGAGGATATCTCAAAAACAATTTGTGACATTTTTTTTTCCTTGCAGAAATAATTCTAAACTACTGACAAAAACAGAGTGAGAGAGAGAGGAAAATATGCAAGAAAAATCAATGAAATTTACACCACACCACAATACAGCTAAGAGTAAAATTTGTCTGACACCAAAAAATTTTCACAGAAAAAAAAAGACATGCAATCAAAATGTTTTCAAAAATTCATTCAAAATAACACATTGCAGTTGTATAATAATTACAAATGCAATATATCTCTCTCTCTCATCTCTGTTATCAATTTTTTTCTTAGATCTATTTACATCATACACATCAATTTCTTAAGCTTTCTCGGGATAAATGGGGATAAAAGAAATAGACAATTGTCCAGATTCACCATAAGCACTTTCACTTATGCTTTGGTATAAATTACTCGCACACACAAGTATTTCATAGAAAACTTGCAGAAGTCTAAATGAGTAAGCATATCAGAGAGAGTCCAAAAGTGACTGAGGGAGGGGGAGGGAGTGGGAGGAACAAAGAAAAAGAAAAAAAAATGAAAGGGAAGGGGAAAGATTTATCCCGTGTAAGCTACCATATAAAACCCTGTCCAGAAAACAGGATATTGTAAACAATGCTTACAAAAGCATCCTGGTATTTTCTCGTCAATAATCCACATTTCTTTCCTTATTTCTATCTTTAAAACACCATTAAATCAAATCCGTCCAATATTGCCAAGTCTCACACATGGTAAATCAGAGTTTTTATTAGAGAGCCCTTCCGGTCTCCGCTCAGTGTATTTCCTACTTATTTTCTCTGTATCATTATTGTTATCATCAAATGGTTTTTGCATTGCATGATCCCATATTCAAATGGCACAAAGGGTGATTCAGATACACTTTTTAATCTTTCTCAGTTCGTTTTTGCGGTCTCCCCTTCCTACTTCTGCTTAGACATGTCGATCTCGTTGTGACATTGCTTGGTTGTACTGGTCCATGTATGCATTGACTTTCGCGGGACTGCCTCGCGTCTAGATCTGTGCTTTCGAGAACGACACGCGGAGATGATTCGACTCAGCCAGCTGGTAGTTGTGCATTGCCTGTATTCCACAAACAAGAAAGAAAAAGAATGGTGGTGATGTCTTCATGAGTTGAAGTGTCTTGCAAAAAGCATAGGACCTATGACTGTACCTTGTGGCACCTCCAAAGTTCCACTGGTCATAGCCCACAAGTCAAATAACCATACATTGTATCGGCAAAACGTCATTGATGAAAATTTGATAGAGTACACTGCAATGACCAAGTCTTTCATAAAATCTTGGTCTCTGTAATGTTGGCTTAAATATCAGACTAAAGTATTGGTCCAACAACTGTACCTTGAGGGACACCAACTAATGACTTACAATTAGAGCATGGATTGCTTCTTCTACAGAGCCCATCTGCAGGAGTGCCATCTTCCTGTCTTTTCTGTAGGATTGAAGGGGGACAAAATAAGAAACATTAGCATGATGAATACTACCGGTAAGGCTAAAATAGCTCAATGAGTCAATGGAAAATTAGAATTATAGTTTATTGAGAATTCAAATATATCCAATAACGCTATTGAACTGATGCAAGTTACAAGCATCTTTTGTACGTTTAGACAAGTCCTATCTAAAAACTTATTCTGTATGTAAATATAATTCATCTTAAGTATGCTTATCAATCACTAATACTTGACAAAGATTTTCATATGTTTACTGATATCAAGGATAAAATCAATCAAATTTGAGATTTTATCTTGTAATATGTTTGAAAAATTCTTCACGTCAACTAATCAGGAAAAAATTAAGGATGGCCTAAATGTACTGATCGTCAATTTTTTACACCATCATAATTCTGAGACTACTTATATGTATAGTAAATAAGCCTACATTTCCCTCTTGATGCAAACAAAACTGGAGGGTATCATAAAAACACAAAATCTTTGGGTTGTTTTATCATCCTCAAAATGGATGAAAGTTCTTTAATCACTCTTAAAGAAAATATTACTCAAGTAAAGTCCAGGTTATCTATCAAAGTTCCAGGGATACATATGAAAGACGACAGAGGTCAGTTATACTTACGGGAAAAACTTGAAGTTAGCTACAGTACCATGTTGAGAGAATGCCTCTTTTAATGTCTCCTCATCGACAGTGGGCCTGCAAAATGAATTTGGAATAATGGTTATTTACAGTGAAACCTGTATATAAAGACTACTCGAGGGTAACAAGAAAAGCAGTCATTAGCAGGTGGTCTTCTATACAGATGTTGCAAAATGAATTTTTATTTTTGCATTTTTGTCAACAATCTACTGGCAAACCAAAATGAAAGAAAAGGAGGGTATGAAGGAAACACAAAGAAAGTGTAAAAACAAATTAAAAAAAGCAAAAGATTATAATAGACAACAGTAATCAGAGATACCAGTTCTTCTTAAAGTCTCTTTCTTCTCCTTCTTCTGGTAATCTTCAAAGGGCTGTATGCCTATCGAGAAGATGAACTCAAGATTGGAAGCAGTGCGAGGAAGACAAATGAGGTTTAGGTAGAGGTGTTGTGTTCGAGTGGATACGTCTCCTGATTGTTGATCACAAGGTCCGCGGTTTGAGTCCCGCTGTCACACTAATGTCCTTTGGCAAGACATTGATCTACATTAGCCACACTCCATCCAGGTGAAGTAAATGGGTACCTGGTAGGAATTTATTCCTTGAAATGCTAGAGCGCTGTATGGCAGCCGTGCTAAAGCCAGGGTAATAATCGGGAGCGCCAGGAGGGTCAAATCTGCCTGACATGAGTGCTATACAAGAACCCACTATTATTATTATTATTAATGGGATAAGAGCATTGGATGACTCAGGTGTAGTCCCTGGAAGTTCTCTGGACTACTGGTGTGTACAACATTTGCTGAAAGGCTGCTCAATTCTGGTCCATGTGGCTTCTGGCTTGGTGCATTTAGAAGGTCATGTCATGATTCTAACTTAATCGAAATTGATTTCATCCAAAGAGACTGGAAAGGGACTCAGATATGTTGGAGTCACATATGTGCTGTACACAATGAAGCCTGAAAAGCCTGAAACGGGGAGGTGTCAAGGCCTGAAATTAGGCTATGGTCGGAAAACTGGGGGGTGTTTCACAAGACTAAGATCGACTTAAGTTGGACTTGAACTATGGCAGGCCAATTCATGCCACTGGTTGCTCTCAACCATTGGTCTCTCAAGGGACTTCACAAATCTACAGAATTCACACTTTTTGATAGTTCATTATTGAAGGAAAAAACATTATCTAAAGATCACAATTTCTAAGGGTTTTTTCCCTCAAATTTTACATCTGGTTCAAGACTTTTTAAGGGCATAAATCACCTGCCATAGTTCAAGTCCAACTTAAGTTTTTGTTTAAAACCAATGTTGTTTGGAAACTTACGGAATGTTTGAGAGATGCAGTGTAGAACTAGGTGGGTAGATGTTAAGGAAATTCTTGGAGCCTGGCTTCTTGAATCGGTGAAGGGGCGACGTACTGAAGTCCTTGGTTAGACCAGCGTCCTGTGGATCAATCAAAGAGATATAAAAAAGTGAGAGAATGTCTTTCAGGAGGATAGAAAGTGAAAACAATAACTGCAAGTAAATGGAATTGGTGAGGAACTATCCTGTACTCAAATACTTTGTCTATTAGAAGAATGAGTTGTTTGTTTCATTTTGAAAATCTGTATTTGATTATCATTCTCATCTTCAAACCCATATTAGAGCCTTTTTAAAACCTGTTTTTCCCCATTGTCCATTCTTATCAATTTCCATTTCATTTCTCTCTACCTCTTTCAAGTTCTTTTTCTTCAAGTTTTTCATTTCTTCCTTAATATTTTCTCTATTTCCCCTTTGTCTTCCTTTCTTGCCTTCCCTCCTTTAGCTAAATATGTTACAACTGGCGTTACTACTTTCATACAATTCTCCACTTTCCTTCTCTTCCTTCCCTCTTTTATCTTTCTCACTTTCTATTTTCTCTCTTATTTCATTAATTTCCTTCCTTTCGTTGTTTCTTTAAATTTTTGTTTATTCTATTTCCCTTCTCTCCCCAATGTTCCTTCCTTGGTCCTTCTGTATCTCCACTTTCTGTCACTGTGTTCTTTCCATTCTTCACATAGACATCCTCGCCCCTCTCCTTATCTCCAGGGGGGGGGGGGGGGGGGGGGGGGGGGTGTTTCACAAAGATCCTAAGTCGAACTTCACTCTAATTAGGACTTAAAAATTATGGAGAGTCATTTGTAGCCTTAAAAAAAAAAAGCAAAAGCAAAAGCAAAAATTCTAGTGTTTCAGACTTTTTATAAATTCCACATCAAGAACATGAAATCTCCTTGATAATAGAAAATATGAATGATTTGAATCAACATTTTATGCCTTTTAAGATGACTTTTACAAAATATTTTCATAGATGCTAATGGCTTCCATAATTGTTAAGTCCAACTTAGATTCTTTGTGAAACACCCCCCTGCAATCCCTATTTCTCTTACCGGTTGTCCTTCCTTGGGGAGCTGAACCATTTGATGCTTGGATGCCGTAACACGGATCTGCTTTCCATACAGCTTCACACCGGACAGATGCTTCATGGCTAAACAGAAAAAAAGACAACAACAAATAGTCAAGTCAGGATCTCTAGAAAAAACATTTATGGTAACACCACCACCACCACTACCACAATTTCAAAAATAACAAATGAGGTACATGTATTGTAGTCTAGTGGATCATTTTTATGACACTTGCTCATGCTGAAATTGTTGTGCATCAGGTTTCTTAAATTATAAGTCCTTACTTCAAAGCTTGACTCATACCTAACCCAAACCCCAACCCCAAATCTAACCTTAAACTAAATACTTTCTGACGAAAAAAAAAGCCCAGAGCAATTGCCACAGGAGCATATGCCGGGTGACTCGGGTAACCCTTGTCGTTTCATCACCAGACTATGAATCAAACGGTTGATGTATAGATAACCTGTTACAGCACTAATTTCCTCTGCCAGGGCATTAATCTTACATTTCCTGCATCCAACCCAGATGTACCAAGTGGGTAGGGTGTATTCTTGAATCCTTGAATCCTTGAATCGAGCTAGACGGGGACTCATCACAACACTCCTCCTTGTGTCACTCATCTATGCCACAGCATCTTCCTACCACTATCACTCCACTAAAACACCTACAACAACTACCACCATTACAACATTCTCTCTCATACCTGGTTGTGCCTAGTTAACCATTTAGAAAAGCGCAATAAATGACCACTACCACTACAACGACTACCACATCTACTACTACTACAACATTCTGCCTCCTACCTAGTTGTGACTGGTTGGGATCGCTCATCTGTATCAGGGCGTTATCCCGCTTCTCGTAGAGAATCTTGACTCGTTGCACATCACCGTAGACGCCTGTAAGAAAAATGGAACAACCCAAGAGAACGGAGATCGTCAGAGAGAGAAGAGGAGAGAGGGGTGGTAGGAAGGGCAGGAGGAGAAAATCTCTTTGTGGATACTCAGTAAAAAAAAAATCTAAGGCATGCTGCTACAAAAAAGCACATTGTGGTAACAGACTTGAGACACTAATTCCAAAAAGTCAATAAAAAAGAAAGATTACAAATTAGAAGAGTATCATGCATGCTTGTAGCGATTACAATCATTACCTCAACGATGAATGTGCAAGTATTGGCCGCTATGTGTTTGTACAGATGTATATGTAGGTATAGAAAAATCATATATGTACATGTAGATAAAGACAAATCTGAAGTGACATAATTTTACCCCCCCCCCCCCCCACCTAAACTTGAAAGGCAAAGTTCTCATTTCAAAAAGAAAAAAATTAAGTAGAATTACCATGCAGAAAATATATACCCACCTATCCAAAAGAGATGAGTAACACAAAAATAGAGATAACTATCTTCCGATCAGAAAACTCGAATTTTCATTCATTGGTTCCTATCCTATACCAGTTTGATTTTAATATTAGGAAGGTCTAATGATTAAGGGTTATTTCTCCCTCCTGGTCAAATGTCATATAAGATGGGCAGGGAAAAAGATATAGCAAATATGTTTAGATAAGTGGATGTAAAGCATTAGTGTGCTGCATTTGGAAATGTGATTTTGGATAGGGCAATACATAGAAAAGAAAATATAAAAGGAAATAAAGAATTATAATCCTGTGTTGTTTATTTCCACCTAAATGACCAATGCCTTATTTTGCCCTTTAAACAAATTATAATAAATTCTGTAAAAATTTACAATAAGTTTCACAAACATGCCATTTCACAAATTAAGACAAAAAATTGACAAAATTAAAGATTTGAAAATAAAGAAATATCTACCATCCCCCAAAACATTATTTCAACTTTTCAAGACAAAAAAGAAAGAACTACACTATTCATTTAAAGTAAAAACACACCAAAAAACGACAAAAACTTGAATTCTGGCCAGCCGTAATGTCAACGATTTAAGGACATTCTTTTTTGTTTAAATGTGTCAGATATGCATCTCTTGAAACTTGTTTATTTTCAAATTACAAAATCTATATAAAAAAATAGGAAAAAACCTATTTAGGCCCTAGACATACGACTTCAGGCTGGTAGAAATTGGTGCAGAATTGATGATTTTCTAGTACATTCACGATTCAAAAACTTTCACTATTTCATGCTATATTATTAGAGATCAAATACAGCATCAACACAGATAAACCATGACATGTTTGTTACATATGATCTTCATAGAATCATATTGAGAAAGCTACTACAGAAGGTCTTACCAACCCACTGAAATGAAAAGAGAATTTCTAAAGCAGAAAGTCCCAAGTCTAAAATACAACCTTCTATGGAAAACTAACAGGAGTAATACAATAGTCATGATAAAATGTTGTATCACCCCAACAGGAAAAAGACAGGGCTGAGTTCTGGTAAAGACGAAAAGAATTTTAGGAGCATTCATAATCTTTTAGGTCAGTTTGGAAGAAGATCAAAGTAGAAATATCCCCTGAAAAACAATCGCTCTTCAAATGCGTTCATATTTGAAACATAAAGAGAATGAGGTACAGTTTTGGATCAAACTTTCACACCGCACGTTTGTGTAATCCCATCTACCCATTTTTGTGTGCAGCGCATGTTTATAGTTATTAAGAATGGGTCAAATTCTGATCATTTTGATCATTCCAAAACCTCACAGTACACATCAATTGTTATGTACTATCACATGATCAAACTTTCCCTTTCGCTTCCGGAACGTTTTCTTTTTCACGATCTAATCGGCTGACCAGAACTCAACTTTTTTATCTTTCAAAACAAAATTTGGAGAATGATGTAGTGCATACCAAAGAGGGTAAAGAGAGCCTGAGGTGTGACCAGCTATATGCGGAAGGTTGAAGGATGCAACAGCGGAGAGGGCACAGCGAACGAACGGATGAAGATCGACAGAAGAACAGACCAGAGGGTTTGGTTTTGTTTTTATTGAAGGGAGAAAGAGAAAGAGAGACGAAAAGTGAATTTAAAATAAATAAAAAAATATACATATATATAAATATATACACATGATTGAAATTGAAAACTTGCTTGTAATAATGGGGTTTTCTCTCGAGAGTTTTCTTTTTCTTTTTCATGAAAGAGAGAAGTTACAGATCATCAGAAAGAGAGGCTAAGTTTGAATTTTGAGAAGAAAATATAAAAAAAGGTTGAAATGATGAAGGGAAGAAATACTGCCCGTCATGTACATAATACTATAGTCGATTATACTTTGAAAGAAGCATACCTAGCACCAAGAAATATAATAGCGATTATCTATTCGAGAAAACAGAGGAAGATGTCACCATGCAAGATACAATTTCTCAATTAAAAGACGAGGGTCTATCATTTCTATCTTCCCATTATTCAAATTTGATAAACTTCACATGTTTGCGCTACTTCCATCTTATTTACTTGAAATTAACTTGATCGGAGTCACATAATGTAGTAGAAAGACCAAGGCAGCTTTTCCTTCAATATGACCACGTCAAATTGATTCTTCTACTTTAAAATGTCTAAATGAGAGGAAATAGTACCGATGTGGAGGGGGGGGGGGGCATTGAACAGGTAAATCTTTATCCAACATGCACAGAGGATAAATACATTCTTCAGGAAAACAAGAACCTCTTCGCAAGAGATTGATGTTCGTTAAGATTTGTGTATTATCATTTTGAAATAAAGGTTAGTTGAACAAATAAAAAGAATTAAAAAAAGGTCTTCCTGCTGTAGAGTATACTCTGAGTCACCGGAAGGGAAAAGGGGGAACATGAAAATAAAAAAAGTAAGGATAAGAATAAATGCTTTTTGAAATAATAAATAATAAGTAATGTAAGCATAGAGTGGAATAAAAGATTTCAAAGTATTAAAGCTGCATTGACAGTTTGACTATTATATTCTTCTTCTTCTCTTCTTCTACATTGTACCTTCCTAGACGTGAAGATTGTTAGTTTAGAGAAGAAAGCAATTGATTCTGTGGTGTTTTCCAATCTAACTTTAAACTGATCTACATGTCTGTCTGCAGCAAACACCGTGACCTTCTAATAAAATCAAGCTAGGACTCCAAACCTTTGTTATCGTGAAATGTCACATGAATCTACATTACTTAACCCCCTTTTTACATCACTGAATAAATGCACACACCAAGAATTAAGCAAATTCTTTTTATACATCCTTCAAAAACAGCATTCCTCTTTCCAGTGTTGAATGTAAAAAGGCCAAACGGAGGCCCAAGCATTTAGTTTAACCTCTAAACTCTTACCTCAATGGGGGAGTTCTAGAGGGGAAACAACTAGGTCATAAAAGAAACAAATCCCATGACTGTCTGTCTCTGTCTTTTCCTTTGTCTCAGTCTGTCTGTGTATTTCTCTTTAACCCCCCCCCCCCCTCTCTCTCTCTCTCTCTCTGTCTATCCCCTATTCTCCAGATATATATAAATCTCTCTCTCTATCTCCCTCATTCTCTATTTCTAGACATCTCTCTGTCTCTCTCTGTCTCTTTCTCGCTCTGTCTCCCTCTATGTCTCTGTCTCTCTTACTGTATCCTTACCTCTGGGGTGAGATTGCTAACGAGGATGACCGAGGAGCCCGACGGCATGTACATGCCTGGCATTCTCATGCCCTGGGCCGCTGCAGCAGCGTGGTGGGGTAAGGCAGATAGACCGGCAGGGAAACCAGGCACACCTGTTGAGGGAGGGAGGGGGGTAAGAATAAGGGCGTGGTCAGAATCAGATTGGGTTAAATCATGGCTAAAATACTGCAGTATTCGACTAAACTGGGCCTGCACTGGTAGCATCTAAGGTTTTGTGCACTTTCACACAGGTGTCTCTAACCAATAATAATAATACCTAGAATTCTGTTTTTCCTCTGTGATGCTGAGGAAAACCATGTTCTGACATAGCAACAGTTGTCATTTTTAAAACTGATACTACATGTAAATGTACATGTACAATTCTTAACAGGGCCATTTTAACACACCCTCTTTCATAATTCTCACAAGTTTGCATCATCAGATAGAGGGAAAAATCCTTGCCGTGTTATTCATAAATGAATAGGGCCCTTTGTAACTCGTCTTTGTCTATGCCAGACCAGTATGAAAGGGCACTGCTTTGACCAAAAATATAACAGTGATTCTCTGAAGATAAACAAATGTCATTTAAAGTGTGAGATTTTTGCCCATAGTCTCAAAACTTCTAAAAAATAAAATGAAGTTACTCCACTTTCCCATTATTGTCATTAATTGAATAATCTCCTGCTTGTCGAACCCTTTTGATATGATTATACACGTACATGTAAGCCCAATTCTCGAAAAGTTAAAAGTAGGTTAAACGTAAGTTGCCCCTTCACTTACACAAAAAAAATCACAATACCGTTCCCAAAACAATACTTTTTTCATAAATCAATCATTACAAAATCACAATTTTTGATAGACACAACTTCTAAAACCTCAGGAAAGGAGCATTATAGATCAGTGATGAATGCATGCAAGGGTTAGGGTTATGTGTCAGAGGTCACAAAAAGCTATGCTGGGGAAAACAGCATATGAGGCACATTGATTGGGTTTATTATCATTGGGAAATGGCTGGTTAGGTGCACAGCAAGAATTAGTGTTAAGCTACATGATACAATTAAGATTTGTTGTTGTTGTTGGGGTTTTAAAATAAAAAACTATAATGGTTCATCATATAATCCAACAAATAATGGCAAGTTTAAATAATAAATAAATTGTGTACCAACAAATTTTCAAGAGCATTTGACAAAATATAATCAATTTTTTTTTAAACATAAACAAATCTACAAACTGTTCCGAGAGGGGTAGTGATTTGATAAATAATTTTTAGTGTCATATTTAAGCTTTTAAGGGGAAAAAAGTTTAATAATGAAGACTTAGAGGGTGGGGGGTCATTTTCTTGATTTTTTTTCTCCAAATGTCACAACAATACGAGTGATTGGTATTACAATGACAATGTAATGGTTATCTAATCACTGAACCACATATGAATTCAACCTAAACAGGAAAAAGGAAAGGGGGAACAGCGTAAAGCAGAAACAGGACAATGAGCGAGCAAAGGAATCACAACAAAAGGAGAAAAATAAAGGGGAAATAGCCCCCAAAATGTTAGACACCACAAGATTGAAAATAATGAGAACAATACAGAGATTAATACATGTAAGCATGAGAGAGGATATGAAAATCATATGAAATGGAAAGGATCCCTTTAAGAAAAATGTAAAGAGAAAATTAAAAGTAATAGCATCTACAAAACTTGCAGGAGAGAATATTTCCAGGAGATGAAAAGCCTGAAATTTCAAGGAGGAAAACACGATTCTCTTGTAAGAAGCCAAACAAGCCGAAAGACTAATCAGCCCATTTACGCAACAAACATTGTAATTTACTAACATGGCATTGCGACATTGGAAGTTGCATAGCAACTACACATGTAAATGCCAAATTTGTGTAGCAAATTTGAAATGTCAGTACAAGAGCCTCGTGAAAAGAGGTTTTCTGAAGGCGACAGGGAAAAAAAAGATATGTAGAAAATGGCGGCATGGTCACTGTCTGTCTCTCAAGACATCTAGTAAATATCCAAGGAGAGCGGGAAGTAGTGAAGTTGACCATCAGCATGAAAAATACACAAGATATAGGCATTCCAAGAGAAAAACCTGAATATGACAGGAAAGGAAAGCGGAGATATTTAGGAAAAGGTCGCGTTCTGATAACGGTGGGAAACAATTTGTGAGCTTTCGTATTCTTTTAACACATATTTGATGGTGTGGAAGAATATCATAGCAGAAATGTCACCTGATAAAAAAAAAAGTGCTGTTCAGAGAAGTCCTCAGATTCAAGATTTGATCTTTAATGCCAAATGTGTGTGGTTCATATTTGTTCATCAATTAACGGGAGAAATTTGCAACTAGAGAGTGTTAAATACAAGAAGAGTTCTTGGAAGAGAGAAAGAGAGAAAGGGAGAGGGATAGAGAGAGAGAGAGTGTGTATGTGAGGGAGAGAAATATAGGGAATATTTGCAGAAAGCTGTAAGAGAAAGAGAGATAGATACAAATAAATGAAGATTTAGAAAGTGAGATGGAGAGAAAGAGAGATAGATACAAATAAATGAAGATTTAGAAAGTGAGATGGAGAGAAAGAGAGATAGATACAAATAAATGAAGATTTAGAAAGTGAGATGGAGAGAAAGAGAGATAGATACAAATAAATGAAGATTTAGAAAGTGAGATGGAGAGAAAGAGAGATAGATACAAATAAATGAAGATTTAGAAAGTGAGATGGAGAGAAAGAGAGATAGATACAAATAAATGAAGATTTAGAAAGTGAGATGGAGAGAAAGAGAGATAGATACAAATAAATGAAGATTTAGAAAGTGAGATGGAGAGAAAGAGGGATAGATACAAATAAATGAAGATTTAGAAAGTGAGATGGAGAGAAAGAGAGATAGATACAAATAAATGAAGATTTAGAAAGTGAGATGGAGAGAAAGAGAGATAGATACAAATAAATGAAGATTTAGAAAGTGAGATGGAGAGAAAGAGAGATAGATACAAATAAATGAAGATTTAGAAAGTGAGATGGAGAGAAAGAGAGATAGATACAAATAAATGAAGATTTAGAAAGTGAGATGGAGAGAAAGAGGGATAGATACAAATAAATGAAGATTTAGAAAGTGAGATGGAGAGAAAGAGAGATAGATACAAATAAATGAAGATTTAGAAAGTGAGATGGAGAGAAAGAGAGATAGATGCAAATAACTGAAGATTTAGAAAGTGAGATGGAGAGAAAGAGAGACAGATGCAAATAACTGAAGATTGAGAAAGAAAGTTGGAGAGAAAGGGAGATGGAGAGAAATATAGACAATGCAACAAAAGAAAGAGAGCAAAAGAGAAACAAATTGAGAGATCTATCAATCTAATCTTTCTAGACAGACAAAACGATATTAAGAACAGAGAAAGAATATCCACACTAACCCCATGCATTTTTTAAACCAGGGCCCTAAGGCATCAATCAATATCTACATAACTAATCAGTAATCATACATGTAACTTTTGACCTAAATTGCAAACATGTTTGGTCGATAAAGGAGACCCTAATGTATTAGACCAATGAAGCAAGAAGATTCACACGGCAGTGAACACCAAAGGAACTACAAAAAAGAAGAGTCATCATGCTTCAATGGTCTACATGGAAGGAAAGATATGTTGGTTAAAATAAGAATGAAATTCCCCTAGAAATAGAAGGAGCCAGGTAGCGTATAAGACTGCAAAGCTAGAAGAGAAAAGGAGTTCTTCATGGAAATAAAAGAATGATCAAAGTGAGATATCACAAAATAAGTTGAAAGTGAAGCTAGGAAAACCCGAAATATAATGGCACGACATGACCATCGGAACAGAGAGACATAACAAACTTGTCAAGAGCTGTAGAAAGGAAAAAGATTTGTTGAGTGAATTAGAATTCAGAATTAGAGGAAAGTCCATAGATGAGATCACTTCAACAGTCACGCTCACAAGCAAACAACGACAAAAAAAAGAAAAGAATCGGGATACAGAAGAAGTCATGTCATTTCCAAGAAGAACAGCGTAGAGGAGCAGATTTGCAGGAGATGGTAGACCGTCCAGTCGACGGAGGAGTGAAGAGGATAGATCAGAAGCCCTTTAGCTATGTTACGTTAGACTCTAGAAGACCGTGAGTGTGCAAGACGTGAAAGAGAAGAGAAGGAGAGGTGGTACAAACTGATTATTACGTGAACCAAGTACCTGCTTGATGATATCCTGCTAGTGAGACCGGCGTCGTGCCGGCGAAAGGCAGACCGTGCCCTGTGGCGTAAGGCGATATAAGGCCAGCTGCCCCACCAAATCCTGAAACGGTTGCGGGTATACACAGGGAACATAGAGTGTGTTAATTCCATTTAAATGATTGGCATGGCATTAAGACGATAACAAAGGGGGCGGGGTAGAGAGAAGGGGGCGTGTCGTAATGCAATGTGTGTGTGTGTGATGCAGAGAGCAGTCCTGCAATGCGGACATTGAACACTGTCCCTTCCCATACTTTGCATGATGCCTTCCAAAGTGATCTTCATAGGCACTTCTTGATTGCAATTTACAAGTCTTAATACATTTCATTAATTATGTTCCATTTGAACAATCATGACTGAATCAGTGATGAATCTATTGCAAGATAATGGGCACATCACCTTGCTCCTTTGCTTTTGGTTTTAAACTATTCTTCCTCCTTAAATCTTTCTTAATCCTGCCATTTCTTTACGAAAATGGATCAGTGTGTCTATCCCCATGTGTTACTTGAAGTGCTCTCAAGACTGTCCATGCATTGCAGTACTGCTCTAAGATGGAGAGACCGACCGAAGCGAAAGAGACAGTGAAGAACAGAGTGGTGAAAGGTTAGCACAATGCATACACAGTTGGACTATTTCATACCCCTAAAATGTATTCTTATTGTTAATGAAAACATAAACAAAACATTGCATAATAAACAGGGGGTGGGGGGTCAGTCAAGCATTCTACAAGCATGAATTGTTATTCATAACATGCACAAGAATTATTGCACCCTCTGTGTCTTGAGGATGGAAATCTCATCTCCAAGATAAAATAAAACGAGGGCTTAAAATGAAACATAAAAAGCAGACTTGGTGCAATTTAACACAAATAATGGTTGAATACATGGAATGAGTACAAATATGAACCTCAAGTCTAGTACATTAGCTTTATTTCAACTTCCCTAAATTTAAGAATATCTGCATTTATGTAACATTATTAAACAAACGTGATACATGCAATACTTTCTTAAATGCCTATGATTTGCGTTACAAGGTCTTTTTGTTGTTGTTCCTATCAACATTTTGCTGTTATTATAAGATACACATGTAAATTAATGCATGCATGATCATACAAGCAACATCAAATTGAGAATCAGTTATGGCAATACAAAAAAGTAATTAAATTTTTTTTTTTTTTTAAATCCTCCCACTCAATCTTTTGTCTACCATTGTGTTTGTGCAAGAGCATTTGTTGATGCTAGTAACCATGACAACTGCACAAGCCTCAGTACAGCTAAACAGTAAACATTGGCTCGTATCCATCAGAAGGGATTGTTTTATTTTGTTTTTATTTAATTTGTTTATGTATATATTTTTTTTGGGGGGGGGGGGGGGGGGGCTGGCCTTAAACATGCTAGGATGCGATCAAAGATGAGTAATACTCTATTACTAGCAAGAATTTCTAATCCAAAAACATGCTCTTGTAAAAGAGAAAGCACGAAAGTGTAACACTCCAGATAATTTGCTGCGGAGTGTTGCCAATTTGCAGTGCGATCTCTAACGCAATGCTGGTTGTGATGGTAACGGCCATTGGAAGCACAACTACCAATCTCCTTCCCCAATTTCGAAATTGGAGGAGGAAAAAAAGTCTAATTGCTTTTCCTCTCTCAACTCTCTTTTCTATAAAGAACAATAGCCTTATGAAGTACACAAGGCAGTGCCTATACAGAGCGCAGACAACGATGCTTTTCTTTCTATTATTGTTCTCATCCGTACCAGACACTATGAATTATAAATTAGAAACTGGGGGCAAATGGTTTGGGAGCGCGCAATGAATTACTTTCGCTTCAAAAATTTCAGCATTTGCTTTCTCTCCACATTCAGAGAACACAATGAAGAGCCTTTTATGAGAGGAAGGGTAATATGAAATTGACTGGTCTTGCAGCTACTGCACGCACTAGCTTCCTTTCAGCTCAAAAACAATATCAACATCCATTATTATTTCTGTAACATGCTTGAATGTGATCATGTTCAATAATTTAATGAAAATAAAAAATGGCATAACTATCACCAAACAGAGAAAAGTTAAGTACATTCATGAAAACACATTTATGGACCTCTCTGTCTCTATCTTTGTTATTGTTGTGTATGCATTCATTTACATTTTTCTAATATTGTTTTTATTAAGGGTTGGGAGAGGAAGTCATTTCAAGGGCAATTCTCAATTCAGAGCGATTAATTGAATGTAATAATATCAATGTTATTACTCAATATGGGGTTTCAAATATGCCATGCACAAAATCATGCACTAAACTATTATGTTGATAAGGAATTGCAATTTCATGCATTCGTTCGACGTCGATTCATACAAAGTTGTTTTCAGTTTAAAAGTAGTATTATTCAGAGTATCACTTAAGTTCAGTTTAGCATCCTGGCAAACGTGTGATGGGGAGGGGAAAGGGAGGGGGGGGGGGGGGAGAAGGAGAGGGAGGGAAGGGGGAGAGGTTATGCAGGTGGAAATGGGGTGGAGCAGGAGTGCAGGTAATTTAGGAATATGGATGGGGAAGGGGGACACGTTACATTGTACATTCGAAACATGCGACTGGACTCAACATGGACGAATGAAAAGCCTATGTGTGGGACTGCATACACACACAAGAGTAGGCCTTACTTCACTTTACAAATGGGCTAGCAGGAGGTCTGATATAATCGAGAATCAACTTCATCATTAACAATTTAAAACAAAACATGGAAGCAAAATAGTTATGCAGTAAGCGATCAGGGTTGGTAATTTCATTTCCAACTAAAGGCACACGGGGCTACTGATATTCATAAACAGATCGAGTCTATCGTCGCATCATTCTTTAATGCGGTAGAAGACCGGTACCGTCTCCATAGGGACTTGCCTGAGAGTGGCTTACCTAACATGGCAGCAGTGCTAGGATCGACCCCTGTGAGTCCGTCACCTTGCGGTAGGTCACATGTGTAGTCGCGGCTCTTCTCGTTGTTGTACTTGACGCTGAGGTTGGTCAGTTTGGAGAAGTCGATGCGAAGCTGGCAGCAGTTGTTGTAGATGTTCTTTCCATCTAACTCCTGCAATTATTCAAAAAAAGGGTCTAAAGTTAACAAATGATTTGCGACTTGTTGTAAAATTCACCCGTAGCCAAGGTTTTTCTCAAGAGTTGGAAGGAGGTAGGTTGTTTCTTTTGATTAGTAGAAGATTCTTTCACCTCTCTGAGGGGGCTGAGCACATAAGTGCACTTGAGAAACCATTGATTTCAAAACATTGCTACATGTACAATAACTCACAAACTTTTAATCTATGGAATTTCCGATGCTTTTGTGCAATGCTGTATGTAGTAAGCCTAAAAGAGCAGCACATATCATAGTTGTGAAAGGTTTTGAGGTGCTTTTATATTCCAAGCAGGAAATACATAACACGGCCATGTAGTTACCAGGTTTTTCAAACGGATAATAATCTTTCCAAAAATAAAAGGAATATCCCCCCCCCCCCAATATATCACCTTTTCAATAACCATTCTTAAAGTGATGAGTGAAAACAAATTCATCTCAACTGATATAACACTAGGTCACAAATCACCTACATTTAAGTGTAAGTATTGTTTTTTTCTTTGACTGAGGTCAAGGTAAACTTTCCAGGCTGTTTTCATTATCATTGCTTTCTCCCATTTACTTCACTTTCCTGCCATTGTTGTGCATGTTTATATATTCCACTAGAGAGAAGATCAAGACTTTAGATGAAATTTCCTAGATGCTTATTGATTTTTCGAGACATACATGTAAGACCATTACATGGCACAAGTCCTGGGGAGAGAGTAGCCATTTTGTTCTCTTATTTTTGTTTTCTTTAGGTCGTTGCTCAAAGACTGTTTAGCAATATAACTAGAGAGGAGCCCTGAGGCGGGTGCTCTTGCTCACAATAACCTTGCCGGTTTTCTCACAATACCAACCAATAACCTGTCATAAAAACAATCCATGTTACTATATCAGGCATGCCCCCGGCATTGCCTATAATGAATAGTTTCGCGGCAGTGCTGTTTGCAAAACTTGCGATCAGGTTTTCAGTCAATGCACCTAGTCGACTCCAGATGATTATAACAATATTAAAATACAGGAAGTCAATGTTTTACTGTTATTTCCTGTTGAATAAAAAGAAAACACTTTCGCATCACGTCAGTACTGAATAGCATAGTGTCAATGAATGACATGTCAGTTTTGGAATGAGACCGAGGTATTACTGTTTCAAACAACATGAACTAAACCTCTTTTCTAATTACTTCGATGACATTTAACCACTCAAAAAAATTGCTACAACCTTCCTCAAAGACAATAGGAAATACGTCAATGAACAATTAGAAAAAACAGTGTACATTTTGAATGATCTTAATTAAATGGAGGCTTTCAAAAAAGGAGAGGAAATTAAGGAATCATAAAAATTAGTTTGAAGACCAAACAACAAGGACCAGTTACACAAAGCCTTTTTTCATTGACAAAAGTCAGTGACAAATCTGTTGATAACTAATCAGAAGCAAGAATATCACTAGCTTATAACAAAAACTGTCATTTGTCACTGCTGACAAGTTTTGTGAAATGGGGCCCAGGACTTGTTCCTCTAAAAGAGGAATGATTGGCTGCTACGTGAAGAGCTCTTGAGAGAGGATACTTACCAATTTAGCTACAGCAGCTTGTGATGCATCAGAGAACTGTACAAGGGCCTGGAACTGACCTGTAGGACCAAAACACAAGAAAGAAGATATCTCAAATAGATGTCTGAGACACCGCCCGTGACAATTTTAGGAATGTAATCTTCAAACTGTTAGTGTATAGTGCTGCTCTGCATCGTTCTTGTCCCATTGACCAAGACTCTAATGACATTGTGAGTTCTAACAGTTTGTGTACTATACAATCAGGCAGGGTAAAAATGGGTCACTTGGAAACAAAGTCCACAATACATCAAATTGGTCCAGAACAGGGTTTGGTCCAAGCTTCAATTTCAGGTTGTTTCAAAGAAATTGATTCAACATGGTGCATTCACAGCTCTTCAGTTTGGAACATCTTTCATTCAACTAAATTAACCCCCTCCAAACACATCCAAACTGTTTTTAAGAGACTTTCCGAGCATTGCAGTCCACAGAATAAGAGACTGACAAAACCTTCTATAGTCTATAGAAGACTCTATTTAGAAGTTGCCTACTAGCACTGGCCCTTTTAAGAAGTCACCAAGGGTATCCTTCACATCCTCAATGGCTTTCTTGAAGAATTTAAGCAGGATATTTTTTAGTTTCAGGCTTTATTAACTTGAGTAGACTTTTCCTCACAAATTGACCAGAGGGAATTCTCAAAGGTCTGTGTCTAAAAACATCCTGCAAGACAGGTTCATTGAAAAGCACTGTCCAATACTTCAGACACTACTACTACTACTACTAATAATAGGCATTTATATAGCGCCGTCTTTCTATTCCAAGGTGCACAAATTCATTATTACCCCGGCTTTATCCTAGCTGCCATTACAAGCACTCTCGCATTTCTAGAAATTAAGTTCTGCCAGGGACCCATTAATCTCACCTAGGTCGAGTATGGCAAATGCAGATTAATGCCTTGCCAAAGGACATTAGTGCCGTGTCGGGCATCGAACCACGGCCTTGGAATTTCAAGCCAAGCGCTTAAACCACTTAACTACGACACTTCTACTAGAGGATTCCTTTCAAGTACAATCAAACCTGCTTTAGTGACCACCTGTCTACAAAGACCATCTGTCTAAAAAGACCACTTGTCTACAAAGGCCAAATTTGTTGTTTCCCTTGAAAATGGTTTCTCATTGAATCATGTACATGTACTAAAGGAGCCTTTCTACAAAGGTCACTTTTTGTGTTTCCCTTGGGCGGTCGCTATAAACAGGCTAGACTGTACTCCTAAGAGACAAACCATCCATCTTGCTCAAGCTTCCTTACCGCTCTTGATGAATGTGACGATCCTGAGCACGGTGCCATACTTCCTGAAGATCTCATGGAGGGTGTCGACGGTGATCTGGTAGGTCACATTCTCCACGATGACTCGGAGGATGGTGTTGACTCCACCGCCGGTGTCCGGTACCTTGGGGTGTGTGGCGTGCTGCGGGTGCTGCTGTAGCATGGGATGCGGCTGAAGCATGGGGTGCTGCTGCGCCGCCTGGAGGGCCACCTGCGAGGCGATTTGCTGTTGGAAGGGGGCGAAAGAGAGAGGAGGGGTGCAACCGGGTTAGGAAGGCGTAGATAGAAAGGTCTTTTCTTAAAGACTGGCTACTGCAAGAGTTTAAAGAACCTACTGCAGCTCTGATTTGTGAAGTGAGGTTCAAGAGCAAGACAGTGTTTGTTTGATGTGTGTGCCAACTCTATCACCATGTTGGTGAAAGAAAATTCAATCTATGTTAACCCCTTCCACACTATAAGAAGCAAAATCCACCTAAAGACTGCAACTGTTATTCCATATGTTTGGAACAAATATTAGATTTTTCTTTATTTCTCAAACAGGAACAAGATATATCCCGTTAAAAAGATTTAAAAAAATTTGTTATCAAAACTTGATGCCTAAAAGTTATTTTGCATTGTGACCCTAGAAGCATGCAAGGGGTTATTAATCATAGCGCACCATCCTAATTTTATTTAAAATGGATCTCAGAATATGAAGGGAACATAAAGAGATCTTTGTTATATTACTACCCCTTAATGGCTGTCTAACTCACTCAGGTATGAAGCTAATCCACTTTCTAAGTAACTCATTCCACAAACCATCATCTGATTAGGTATTGCAAAATGATTCATTCATGCTATCGAGGCGATTCAAGTTTCCATGAATTTTTCCTAATTATGATAATTGTGCTTTTGGGTATTGCCAATAAAAGATTACTGGCACCCTCCCTTTACTTCTAATTCTATTTTTATAATCAGAGTCTTGGGGGGTGCAATTGTTTTTTCATGAGAACTGCGTATAAACTGTTTCTTATCAGGGAATAAAATAAAATTGTTTAATAGTTACTGTTCTATTTATAAGTTCATAATAAGAAATACTTCTAGCAACTTGCAAATAATTCCAAAGTAAAGTGTTAGCAGGCTGTGTGAATGTTTAGACTGCACCTTGCACCTTGCAATACAAAGAAATGTTATCCAACAGGTAGGATCACAATACTGCCCAAGAAACAATTAATTCTTCACAATACTAGCGATTGATGTGTGCAGACATGGATAATCACCCAATATGCCATTTTAGTAAAGTAAACAAATTTGAGTGCCTCTTTACAAATTAGTTCATTCACCTGTTACGAATACTTAAATTTCAATAGTCAGAATGCGAATTGCATACATTACGTGTTGTTTGGTAGAACAAGCCATGTTTGTATTGCCTAGCAATGATTTATGGATGCAATTAAATTTGATAACATTACGAAAATGGTCTATTCAGTCTTGGCCAATTAATAGATCTCTTATAAGCACATTCATAACATAAATTAGCCATTTTGGTTCAAATATTGATGAGAATGTATTAAAATGGTCAGCTTTTAAAAACAGATGAGATATTCAAATACAGCACGTTTTCTTGCATTTGCATCTATTAATAATAAATAACTTTTTCATACCCTATCACTCAGTACTTGGAATTTGATTCTGGTGTAAGTGTTGTTGCATACATTTTATTATATTAAAAAGGAGGGTTTTGAGAAATTATCAGAAAAGAATATTTTAGAAAATCAGAGTATTAAATGAAATATTACACAAAGACAGAGACATTAAGAATTGCACTGAGAGTGAGAACTCACATCAGAGTAAACAAATTATTTGTTAGTTCAATGGAAGCTAATGAATTAAATGTGGCTATTTAACTCTCATTTGATCTTTAAAAAGATATCTTTAAATTTCAACTGTCTTGACAGTGATCATAGGGGATTTAAATTGATTTCATATCATCTAGCTCCAACAGTTTCCCATAAAGATGCATGAAGTTTATAATTTGAACATTGAAGAAAGGAAATGAACCGAAAGAGAGAATTGAATATAACTGAAAAGAGAGTAGAAATGTGTGACTACTAAAATAAAAGAACATGAATGTTTGTAACAATTGATGGCTTTTGTCTCAGGTAGATTTGTTTGATCCCAAAATTCCAAAAGGCCAGAAAAATGTAGTTTGGATGCTAGAAATTGACTTTAAAATAAATGTCATTTTACGAAAGACAAAAAATATTCAAGTAAAACTTTGCATGCTCATAACATGAAACGTAAGCTAAAAGAGTAAGTGCAGAGTAGTAATAATCATAACAGAGAGTAATAATTATATGTGAGAGATTAAAAAATAGAAAATTTAAAAGAGAAACCAACAGAGATGGTATTTGCATCCAGGTTAGAAGATCCAGAGGAGGACGTCGGAGGAGGAGAGTCGCGGAGATGATCTCCGAAGCCGCCGCCGCCGCCAGAAGATGAAGAGGTCATGGGGTGGTCCCCGCTACCAGACATGGAGTAAGAGGGGCCGGAGGAGGAGGAGGGGGAGGAGGAGGAGGCGGAGGAGGTGTTGAGGACTGCATGCACAGCAGCCAGGGCAGCTTGCACAGCCAGGGCCTGATTGATTGATTGATGTGAGGGGTTTCCATGGTGATAGTGATGGTGGTAGTGGTAGTGATGTTATGTTGATGGTTGTAGTAGAGTAGATGGTGAAGGTTTCATGATGATAATGATGGTGGTGATGATGGTGATGATGGTGGTGATGATGATGATGATGAGAATAATGGTGATGATGATGATGATGATGATGATGGTGGTGATGATGATGATGATGATGGTGGTGATGATGATGATGATGATGGTGGTGATGATGATAATGGTGATGATGGTGATGATGATGACGGTGATGATGGTGATGATGACGGTGATGATGATGATGATGATGATGATGATGATGATGATGGTGATGATGATAGGGGGATGATGGCAACAAGAGGTGATGGTGTTGAAGTGATAAAAGTAGTCATGACGAGTAGTGGAAACAAATATTAGGTATGACAGGCATCAGATTTTAACAAAGAAAGAGATGGAAATATTTTGTTGTTGCAGTTTGCAGAATATTAATTTTGATAGCGTTTACAAGTAGAAAGTATCATGAAATTAGAGTGAACATAGAGAGGAAACAGCATTAGTATGAACAAGACACACAAAAATAACAGAAAATAGTGCAAAAGAACAATAAAGTTAACAACATCACATTCAGGGATCGAGTTTGAAAGCAACATGTGATATTTCATGAAGCCGAAGAGAGTGTGATAGAGAGTCAACAGGGATGAATGCAACAGGTTAGCATTATGTACAGAGAGTTCACCACGGATCGGGACATAGAGCCATTGTGTGATTGGGGTGGTTCCAACAACGAACAAACATGCAAGAGTGTGGATTTTTCCCAGACGATTGTCAACAAGGTACAGAGGGCAGGAGCGCACAAAGGCGGGGTCAGGGGGGGGGGGAAGAGTTGGTGGAAAACCAAGAGAAAGAAAGAGGGTGTGTGTGAGAGAGAGGAGAGAAAGGGAGAAAGAGCAATATTGAAAGAAACCATGGGTAACAAATTCCATGCAAAGAAAAATGCAACATAAATTCCCATGCAGCCATACGAAGCCATACAAAGACAAACGCAATATAACAAGGAAGCGGGCATGAATAGAAAATGGCAGCACCCAATCGTGAGACAGAAATAGCGAAGCGTGGAAGATTGAGGATTACAACAAAATGAGTAAAGCAGTACATTCACCAAACAATCCCATTGTTATATATTTTATTTTTTTGCAGAATTGGCAAGGTTATGGGGATTTTTCATTTTAAACACAAAAAGAAGGCAATGGCGTGGGAAAGCGGGTTTGCGGCCGGTTATATGTCAAATGAAAAGACATCAAGATTGCATTGTTTACAAGATTGATTTTAAGTTGTTTTTTGGGAAACAGAACAGAATGGGCAGTGAAATGGAAAAATATTGAATGTTTTGCAGGTAAATATAATGATTGATTATTGGTGTGCAAGAGGAGGGGATAGGGTGTAGAAGGGTAGTGGGGTAAGGGGACATTGGGTATTTGTGTAGAAGATGGAAGCAATGGTTTACAGAACAATTATCATGAGAGAGCAGGAGAAAGAGAGATTTGGAAAGAAAGATTCAGATGGAGTTATAGTGTGAGAAAAGAGAAAAATAAAAAGAGAGAGAGAGAGATAAAGAGTGAGAGATAGAGAGAGAGAGAGAGAGAGAGAGAGAGAGAGAGAGATAGAAAGAGAGAGAGAGAGAGAGAGAGAGAGAGAGAGAAGGGGAGAGGGAGAGTGAAAAAACAGGGTGAAAAGAAACAAAACATAGAATGCGACATTGAAAGAAACAAGATGGAGAAATATCAGAAAAGACAGTCAGACAGACAAACAGACAGAAAGACAGTTAGGCAGGCAGAAAACAGAGACAGGGAGAGAGATAAAAACGAAGAGTAGGGAAGAGAAACAAAAGTGAAAAACAGTTATAGATCATGTCAATGAAGATATAAAGTATATAGTTATTGTGCAGAAGTCAAAAGAGTAAACAAAGCATGAAGAATAGAAGAAGACCAATCTAGTGTCAAACCGAGAATCTCACTTATACAAATATTTTGTCATTACAAAAACATGTACTGTAGACCTAAATCAGACAAAAATTATGTACATACAATATTCATAATGATGTGAAGATTTCCACCCATTTTTTCTTTCTTTCTTTTTCCTCTCTTTCAAAAAAAGTAACAATACAATTTGCAGAAAATAAACATAATTACAAAAGGAGTTACATATCTATTGTTTCGTTTTTTCAATGAGTCCTTCCTTCTCTCACTTTAATACTACTGAAGAAGGATTGAGGAAGTAAAAAATCTTGAAATGATAAGAAAAAGGAAGAAATGTATCAAGACGACTCTGAAGACATGCCAGTATGACAATTACCAAAAGTCTCCCATGAATTTCATCAACAAGGCATGCATGAGAAGTTGCATACAAAGAAAGAACATTTCCACCCCAGTTGCACTATATAACGAACTGCATGCGGTCTGCGATACAAGCCCCCCCCCCCCCCCCCCCCATTATAGCCCATGTCTCAAGGCTTTCCATCATGTCTCTGAACATTCTTAAATTCACTCAAAGACCACTCCTAGACGTCTTTTCTTACCCCTAAACCGTATCAAGGTGATCAGACCCTGTAAGTACTCCTTTATTTGTGACTCCTACCATAGCCCTACTATGTATGCTTTCACTAAGCTTCTGGCACTCATTTCTATTATTCAACTTTCTAATTCTGTCTCATCCCTTCCAAGAATACCTACATGTCCAGAATTCATTTAACAGGACAAATTTCTGTCCAAATGTTTAACACAATAAGAGGATCACCTATCCACTGTAACATGACCAGAATTCAATGAACAGGTTGATTTTCAGTCTACATTAGAGGATCACTCATCCATGGTAAGATCTGTCCCTGTCTGTAATTACGCATACATACTTCTGAAAGCGTTAAAGCTATTGTCATATTCCCTATTATATCTGTTCATATTTGGAGACTGCTAATGCAAACAGACGAATCTCTTTGAAGGCCGAGACGAAGTAGTGTTTATCAGGTGATATGTAATGTCTGGAAAAATCCCTGTCTAACATTCCACTTATTTAATGGATCTCCCCAGATAATTCTAATAAATGCGTCATAATCATGCCTTCAACATCAGAAAGTTGGACATAAAACTGAACATATAACAAAAGCCCGTTTCTATAATGTGTTTACAATCTAACAGAAGTCTGTATGCATTTGGTACGTCTACCAACTGTAAATGCTCTAAGTTCCTCTATATTGTATCCAATTATTGTAGGCAAAACCAATTAAACCTGTTGTCAAGTCTAGAATATCTTTTAGTTTATCAAATTTTAAATATTCATTATCCTATCCCTTTCAGCTCCAAATTTATCATTGTGAGGGATAACGGAAATTTGTGATTTCACACTAAATTCAAACAACAGTTAATCTGAACAACTTTAAAAGCTGAAGAAGGACTAGTTACCTATAGCAAGGGCTAAATTTAAAGTACATGTGTAGGCATAAATCCTAAACTCCTACCGAAGATAAGACAGAAACTTCTTTCGGTCACCTACAGGGTGTACAGCATGTATTTGTAAGAATTTATAGAGCTATTACTGTAAAAGATTTAAAACTTTCAGATGTAATTTGGGTATTCATTTCCCGAAGGAGATATCCCATATCAAGCTTGGACGCCATCGCACCTAAGAGTTAATCCTCTGGTTCTCACCTGTTGCGTGTGGGCAAAGTCGGTTTTGAGTTCCTTGTGCTTCGAGAACTGACAGTAGATCTGTCGTCCATGGACGTTCCTGGGCATGTGCGTGTAATGGTTGATAAACGTCTGTGCTGTCGCTTCATCTGCCATTTCGAGGAATGCCTGTAGAATGAATAGGAAAGGTCAAAGGTCAGAGGTCAATTAAATGGTGTGTGTACAGTGAGTCAAACCTGTCTATAGAGGCCTGAATTGAATGATAGGAAAGATAGCTATTGCAGACAGGTGGCCTTTCTAGACAGGTTCTATGACATGTTTCTTCTTCACAGAAGACAAGAAAAAAGATAACAGACAACTGGTCTTTATAGAGAGGTTCTGTAACACATAATTTTCCTTAGAGTATAATGATCCCTTTATAGGCAGGTGGTCTTTATAAAGAGGTGGGTACTGCATAAGCCAAACAGACGACCTTTCTAGACAGGTTCACAACTTAAGTTTCTTCACAGTAGCCAACAATATAGGTGAGCAGTATTGACCCCTCTACAGACAAGTTCTAAAACACTTGTGTCCTCTTAAACAGGAGACAATACAAATGGTCACTATAGACAGGTGGTCTCCACAGAGAGGTGACCACTAAGACAGGTTTGATGGCATCTTGTGCAAGGATTTTTACTTTTAAATGCAGGTAGGCATCGAACCACTCTCATGTGTAGAATCCCTGGTACTTGAATACCCCCAAACCACACCAATGGGACTAACAGCAGAGTGATATTGGACCAAACAAAAGATACATTCAGGACCATTCCTACCATATGTGCTGTTGACAAGCACGTATGCAGAGCAAATACAAACATAATTCTGCAACTTCACAGCTTTTTATTTTCAGCTGCTTAAAAAAAAGTAGCAAAGAGAATCGACATCTTGACAAAGGACCATAAAGACTATAGAGAAAGGACAAATAAAAGAGAAAAGACATTAAAAAAAGACAAGGACAATGACCTACAACAAAGAGAATGGATGGGACTACAGCAAAGAATGAATGCATACAACTTTGGGGAAAGTTCAAGCATTTTTTTGGCCACAAATGTGCAACACCAAAAGTAACAGATGTCTGTGTTATGGAGAAGAGACCAACCACGACAAGGCCGTCAGAAAAGCAGTGATGCGGAACCAATAAGGGTGCCACAATAATTGATGAGGGAGGACAGATGAGAAAGTGTGCAACATTATGATTTGTACGAGATTGGAAGAGATGCAGAGAGAAAAGGGGGTAAATGAGAGAGTGAGAGAAAAGGGGAGAATGAGATGGGAATGGGGACAATGGGGGGAGGTAGGAGAGAGGAGAGGAGAGGAGAGGAGAGGAGAGGAGAGAAGAAGAGTCTGAGAAAACTTTTAAAATCAATGTGAGAGTGCAAGAGTGAGAGAGAGAGAGAGAGAAGTGAAAGACAGAAAGGAAAGAGGGAAAGGAGAGAGAAAGAGAGAGAGAAAGAGAGAGAGAAAGAGAAAGAGAGAGAGAGAGAGAGAGAGAGAGAGAGAAAAGAGAGAGAGAGAGGTGTACGAGACATGTAGCCATGAGGAAGACTTCAACAAACAAGAAACTAAACTACATACGGTAGGCTAACTCTATGAACAATATTCAGCAACTTTGAGTAATCAATGAACACACGAAACCAATGGATAGCTCATGAGCAATCCTGTACAAATATGTCTTCTAAACACAAGAAAAGCTGTCACTCGACAGAAGAATAAACTCATTGGCCCATGAACGTGGTGCACACATATACTTCTAACAATAGACAAGTAAAGCACTGCCCTGGGCAGCATATCATGCAAAACATCTTTCAACAAAATTCTCAGAACAATTTGTAAGCTTACAGGATTCACAAACATTTTCAGGCTTTCCAAGTCACAAAATCCAGTGCCAAAATGTGCAGGTAGGTACACAGGAAATCCTTTTGCTACAGAAGAGACAAACGGCTAGTAGTCTCCCGATACGGCAGCTTCAATGAAGCAATAGTTGAGAGCAGCGGCAGTCGGCAAAGTCAATCAGGGCTCTTAGCTGCCTTTCGTTACATCCAATTCACTCAAGTGCTCTGCTCGTCTCGAGGGTACACATACCTGCCTGCCTATCCACGTGAATTATTCGAGCTATCAATGGACAACGGAAGGCAAGTCATATCAAAAATGCATCTCAGTCCCAGACTGCTCGTCGTCGAGTCAACCAACGAGAGAGCTGTACGTGGCCTGGTGCTCTGGTGTGCAGTAGAACATGGCAAATGGAAGGCTCGACTCGACTGGGAAAGCTTGGCAGCTAAGGCAAGCGTGACAAAAGGCGGCATGTTGCCTGGATTCTCTTCTCATGTCATGTCCATAATCATGACAGTCAGACACTCATAATGGAGTCACTATTCAGCTCAAACAATAAAAGGACTTCAATTGCGCAAATGGAGGTTTTTCTGACATCCATCGACAATATGCCTCCAAGGTCAATACATTGATCATTTTTTCTTTCACAATGATATTATCATTTTACTTGTTTCCCTCATAATACACTGAAAGATGTTAACTGAAGTTGATTACATTATCTTTTTCCAATATCTCCACATCCAACTTGCCCGTTCACAAACAATTATTTTCCCACAATAAATTTAACAGCATTTCTTATTCACACATCTGAGAAAGTTTTTTAATTTGTTGTGCATTGGATCAAATGATAATATTGAAATAAACATGTGAAACTTCTTTGGGGATGTGTTTACAAAGAAAAGTTTTTTAAGTCAGCAATTATTACTAGAAATTTGAGCATTTTGTTGTCTTCTTTTCTTCTTTGCAGAGGCAGAGAAGTATCGTGTTTCATGGACGGAAAGCTTACTGGAGGATGAACCAAATAAAGAATATTTACAAAGTGTTACCATTTGGCCAAATCAAATCATTTTCACTTGCAAACTATTCGTACATTGTTTTTTTTAAATTAAATACAATTACCTTAGGTACATGTTTTATAAAAAGACTTCACTATAAGAAGACTTCACTAAAAAAAGAAAGGTATTAGTCAAAATCTAAAAATCAAATTAATTTTGCTCTTTACGATATCATTTCACTGACAGGAATGATAGAAGCCATACCTGGTTTTTGCCTTTGAGCATGAGATACTTGGTGACACGACCGATAGGTAAGGCAAGGCTTAGGACGTCAGCGTCTAAAGCCTCGTTGGCGAGATTACGTATGTGGACCACGCGTGAAGGCGATGACGCACTGTTTTCCCTCTTTACCTGCAGAGACAAGGGAAGATGAGAAAAGGGAAAATAGGATTGTTAGTGGAAAAGATCTATTACAAATTGCTTGAAATTAATTGAAATGAGTTTCGACAAATCATTAAATTTTCATCCTGGAATTTTTCCAGAAGCAAGCACATAAATCATAAACACACAAATTAAGCATGCACGCCCACACACAAACACACAGATCGTCATCTACATCATCACCATCTTTCACAGTACAGCGAAACCTGCTAAAGAGAGAGAAGAAAAGTGGTCTTCATATGCAAATTTCCTCTAAAAACAGACTTCAGTAGAAACTCTTATAAAGGGAATTTTCTCGAAAAGAAAAGTGTTTTTTCATGCATTTTTCCTTTACAACTCCTATCTCCCATATGTGACTCCAAACATCTACCCAATGTAGGTCGGTTTATCTATATTTATTTCATCACTTCAGAATCGGTATCAGATATCAGTTATTCTAATAACCCACTTCTCTTGATATATCACATTTGCCCCCCCAAACCCTGATATCAAATTGAAATTGCACAGAAAAGCGATAGGAAGGGGTAGGCGTACCGAGCATGTTGTGAGAGCCAGGCAAGCCATATACTGCTCTTACTACAAGAGGTATTATGTCGACGGCATATTTTGCCTGAAACCCAACTCCCAAAAATCAATGCAATCGTGATGCTTGTGTACAGAAGGCTATGGCAACCGAACTCGCAGCCTCCGCAAACAGGCTGCAAGAAATGACACAAACATGCGAGACACGACGGCTCGGGTAAAATCAACCAGAGTTAAGATACACTCATGCCTTCACACTGCCCCATAGGTTGAGAAACATGTGGGGTGATACCCGCTCCATAGGTGGGAATGAGCGAGGGAGCAAGGGGAAAAGAGAAAGTACAACAACGTCAATATGAGAGCTTTCCAATAGGAAATGCCAATATGAGAGAGTAAGAAGATGTACTGTAACACAAATAACAAATTATTTGATAATTCTTCCTTTACATAGAGACTCTCCTATAGTTATGGATTGTTCCAGTTGGGAAAGATATCTGTGCACTTATCAGGTACAACAAAACAAACATACTGCTTTATATGATTCTTAAAGCCCCTCTGCACTACTTATAGCTATTTGCGCCCTCGATATAGCAAACAATGCCTAAGTGGTGATTGTTGGTCCCCCATGGTCCCCTTTTTCTTATGTTAATTGAGAGCTGATTTGATGAGATAACCACCTGTCAGTGACCATGCAGGGAGGTCTAATCCATGCTGGCCAAACTAATGCAAAAACAGAACATGAAAGAAATCCTAAAATGCTACTCAAAATCCAAACAGTTTACGAGTAGACTAGAAATAGCCATGTCAGAACTAAACACACAGGCACTTTGAATTGATTGATATACAGATCGAGAGAGAAGTCTTTGTGAATGATGACCAAATTAAATGTAAGTTTGCCCATCATCCCTCTTCCGGGCAACACAAGCTCGCTGGGTGATCTTCCTTTAAGGCAAAGAAAGGTGAGATCTTTAATCAAGAACTCCATCATGGCACCATCCATTCTGATCGTTCTTAAGAAATCAACATTTTTTTTAATGGTGCCAATTTGAAGAGCAAGATCCATTTAGAGAACAGTCTCCACACTACTAAAAGTAATAATTTTATTTTTTTTAATTATTCAGTCCACACCTAGAGCTGCAAGGCCAATTTCACAAAATGGATGAATCACCTTGGCTTGGTATTAAAGTGAATTACATTAATTTTCCTATCAAATAACCATCTGAGCAGGACCAATATACACTTCAGCTCAATTACTCATTAGGTTTAAAAGCTCGATTCCAATTAGCTGGCTTTTAGAATAATTGAATACATATGATGAATACAGTCAAGCTACGTACATAGGCAGCAATGACCTCCAACCAAATAGAAATACAAAATGGAGTGGAAGCTACTCCTTGCAGTTTCCCTGAATCGTTCAACTTATCATTGGATCAAAATATAACCTCCAGACACGAGTTCACCATCCCTTTACACTGCAAACACAAAATCACACAGGTGGGACTGATGGGGAGCAAAAAAGGGGGCATGAGAGCAGTGGGCTGAAGTTAGAGACTAATATCTGGGGCTGTTGCATCCGGACGACACTTGGGGTTGATCTCCACCTGCGAGACACCAATCAATCAGATGCTACGGTGGTGTCATGGTGCCACAGGCATTTAAACACCAAAATGAAAATGAAAAGAGGAAGAAAAAAATTGAATGATGCTCTCTCTCTATCTCTACACAGGCAATGTACAAGTGGCTGGCTAAAGTCCATGTTTGAGATTCACTACCTCGTGTACACAATTGGATAGAGAAAGAATAACGCTTTGGAGCTATTTGGTTTAGCCGAGTAGGAGTGCACTATCAATATGTTTGTATGGGTTATAGTAGTCATAGGCTAGGCTATCATAGCAAGTACATGTATGTGTAGTTGTGTACCAATCTGCATGAAAAGTATTTGTGTAGGCACAGAGTATGCTTGAATATTGTATATCATTTGAAATGATAACTGTTCATGTCTGCTCTCTAATATTGTTAGAAACAGTAGAGTAATACAATTCCATATTAATGCATATGTTCATGTATTTTTCATCCAAAAAAGCTGTTGCACTGTTGCACCACTAGTTTATCTTAATAGTAAAGGTTCCATGTACATACACAGAAAAGGTGCCTTCAGTCCCATACATTCACTCTGGTGAGTTCTTCAACATCAGCAGTAGATAGCAAAGAGTGAAGGGTAGAGCCAGAGAAAATGAGAAAGAGGGAAAGGGAGGGAGGGGGGGAGAGAAAGAGAGGGGGCAGAGTGGAAGACAAAAGTGAGTGAGAAAGAGAGAAAGGAGGAAGCAGGAAAAAAGAAAAGTTTTTTTTTTTTTAAAGGTGGGGAGAGACAGACACAGGGAGACAGAGAGAGTGGCAGAGAGAGTGGGTCACTTGGGAAAAAGAGAAAAAAGGAAGAAAAAGGAAGAAAGAGGAAGAGAAAAAAACTAGGAAAAAAAGAAGAAGAGAAGATACGGATGGAAGATCCCAACCTGCATAGAGAGTAGTGGCTAATACAACATGACATGTTCTAAAGTTTGTTTGTGTTGAGAAGATTGAAGGATTTGGGGAGCATGTTCATATTTCATGAGCATCGAGAGCGGGACAAGTGAGATGGCTTTCCTCACTTTCCATGCGCTAATTAGACTCTGGTATAAGGGTGAGATGAGAAGGATGGATAGTGTTGTTTTACTAAATCCTTTACTTTTGTTTTCATCTTCTCTCTCTCTCTCTCTCTCTCTCTCTCCCTCTTTAGTGTTCGATCTCTTCCTCTCCTTTTACAATCGCCTCATGCCCTTCTTTTTTATACAAACTCATTCTCTATCTTTCTCTCGCTCTCTCTCTCTCTATATATATATTTCTCTTTCTGTCAGTCTCCGCTTAAATTAATCTCATGCCATCTCTCTCATTCTGTCTGCCTCTCTCTCTCCATTTCCCTTTCTTCCTCTACATATATTACTGAGTAGTCCCTTTAACGGGACTAAAAGCCACATATTCCCTAGTTAACAAAGTTTCACATTCATTTAAAAATACAGCATTAGAACTTATAAGTAATCTTGTAAAAACTTTTCTCTATCATATCATATAAAAACTGTATCTCCTCATGCCCTTTGTTCCCCCCCCCCCCCCCCCCTCCTCAAGAAATCCAATAACCACGAGCAATTACCTGGAGAAGAAGGAAACAAAATCAGCTATCAGCCAAATAAAGGAATCATTTTCATCATCGTCACAGACCCCTGGGGTGGTGGGTCTGGGCTGCCGATTCAAGCGAGAATTGCAATATTCATTTCTCCCTCGGAGCAGGCCAGATGGACGCTTGGTTAGCCATCCAATGCAATGACGGCGTCGTCCGTATGGCCTGCCTGCGCAGTGTGTTCAAGGTATGATAGCCTCAAATTAATAACATCCAAGGAACGTGGCTTGGATTTTCCTCGTCCGTCTGAAGGTCAGGGGCAGGGTAATAGGAGTCCTTTTGAGATGCCTGCTAATTTGCTAGCTTCACTATCCAGTCTTTCTTCCTTTACCCCTTAAACCCATCACACTGAACTTTACCATTGACTTAAAAATGCAAAGCTGTCAAAATTATTGTCTTCATGAAAAATTGAATTTGTGTATTTGTCTATTCTTTTTTTTATTCTATTCTCATAGACTATTTTCCTCCTTAAAGATTTGTTCGTTCATGTTTCCTTAGAGCAAGATTAATGTACCGGTATCTTGATCTTCGAAGTAGTTGCTACAGATTGACTTTGCTGTATACTAACTTTTAAATATGAAAAACTAACATCTCTCATACATTAAAAAAAAAGTGTGCCTCAAGAGGGCTGGACTTGTGTCTCATTCTTTAATCCATCCTTTTGTTTCAGGCTACAAAAAGTTGGTATTCCCTGCTTTTCAGTTACTCTCCATCCATTTGGTTTAATACTGCGAAGCTGCTTGTTTTAGAAGTGCACAGAAATCTAACTGTGTGATTGTAATAATTGCCCATTAAGCTCATCTTGCCATAAGCGAGTTCTGGAAAAGTTTGATGTCATGCCAAGCTCCTGCCAGTGAGGAATGGTTCATACATCTTTATTGGCCCTTGACAGCCAAGAGAGCACACACTTAACTTCATTGGCCTAATGAAAACGTGACTGTCAAGCGTATCTCTACGACCCCTAGCAGTCGACCAAGCAACGCCATCGACCTGGTGCGCGGCGGTGGCAGCACCCGATCGCCTGTTTATTATTGGAATATCCAACCAGGTATCGCGCAGCGCATCAAATATTCATCGGTGGCAGGCCCTGCCGTCATGGCAACCAAACATCATTAGTGCATTAGGTACACTTAATCTACTCCCACTCCAATTAAGTTGCTGCCAGAATGGGCCCTGTGATGCATGACAGTTTAACTTGCCATTATCTATCTCAATCTCGAGTCTTGGAGAGCCCCCCTGATCCCGCTCTCCCTTCGGATGCGCTC